ATGTGGGCGCGCGATAACGAGGGATATAGATTATCGTTACGCGCTCTAATAACAGCTCTGCACGATAATTTGGGGATGAACAGCCCTGAAACGGCTCGGTTGTTACCGAGGTTGGGCAGGGACCGCCGGCTTGTCCCGGCGCAGCCCTCGATGCCGGCAGGGTGCCTATCCCGGCGCTGGCGGCCAGCTGAAGCCCGTCGGGTTTTACCCCATGCCGGCGGCATCGAGCATTTCTCCGGGATGGAGAGCGGGATGCTGACCGGCAGGGGATGAGCACCGAGGCCTCCGGGCTGTTCCGACTGTCACAATCAACCGGCTGCACCACGTGAGGCTTTGCTCTAGATTTCAAGCTGAATACATCGAGCTTCCGCGCTTTGAGCGTGCGAGCCGCCTTTTATCGGTGAGAGTTTTTCCGCCTGAAGCCAAAGGGCCGCTTCTGAGCGTGCAAACGCATGTTTGTGTAAATGCGGGCACACAGATGGACGCGCCGCTGCCGTTGGAAAGGGAATGGGGCTTAAAAATCCGAGGTGATCTCCGGCTGGGGAACCAGGCGTTGCTCTTCGAGTAGCGTCTGGTGGTTTTAGTCTGCGAAACGGGACGGAAACGGGAAAATTTCCACGTGGAGTGGTTTTCCTGACGGGAACCGCCTGTAAGGTGTAGGTGCCCGGTGGGATGTTGGGCTGAGCCCTCTAAATCTGTGAGTTAGATGCTGGAATGAGTTATCTGCGGGGAAGGAATCTGTCTCGCTGCCGCATCTGTTTCGGCAGGCGTCAAAAAGAGGTCGGCCTTGCTGCGCGAGGGCTCTGGAGCGACTCGATTCCCTCCTTCAGTGGGGAAAAGCACAAAGGGAAATGTAAATTACTGCATTAAAATGACATTAGTAGCTGTATTAAAAGCCGTCCCATTGAGGTCCCGATGAAACGCGCATTGACCCCTCTTTGGAGCCCTTGTCGTGTCGGTACAAGCGTGCTAAAGGCGCCGAGCCTTCCCCGGCCCCGCTCCGGCTCTGGCAGCGGCGCTCCGACGAACGACGACGTAAAAGACATTTTCAGAGCCGTATAAAAACCCGGCCATTGAGACCGGGCTGACAATGGGGCCGTTGTGATCCGGGCGGTGGGGAGGCCCTCCCATCGGCGACGTAGTCGAGGAACCAAACCTCAATGGGGCATTATGAGTTCTTCGGATGGCGTTATCTATCGGTGCTCCCGGCAGCTGTAAATAAAGCCAGGGCTAACCGGGATGGCCGGGCTGGAGGGATGGCCAGACCTCAGTGAGAGGTCCTTCTCCCGGTGGGACGCTGAAACAAGCACCACAGAGTGCTTCGGAGACCCCAAAATGGGGATAGACCCCGGCGTTTGGGCCAAGCAGCAACAGCTCAGGCCCATGGTGGCTCGCTGAGGTTTTTAAGCCGGTGCTAATACCATGTCTAAGTCTCTCAGATGGAGAATTTATCCGCAGGGAAGGATGGAGAGGAGAGCGACCCGTTCCGTGGGCTTCCCTGCAAATGTTGCCCGGGTCTGGTTTAGCTCAGGTGCCCGCATGGAAGCGGCCGCGCCGAGTCGGGGCTCTGCGGGTGTAAATCATGACTTTGGCTCGGTCGATCGGGGAGGATTTTATGGCAGGGAGCGTCAGAGGAACGGCAATTTAATCGCGAGGCGTTGCTGCAGAAACAGGAGGGGGAAACTGTTTTATCAGCGGGCAGAACTGGCTGGAAATGGAGGTAAAGGAAGGGAATTTGGAAGTGGGTGAGGTGCTCGTTAGTGAAAATGTGTCTTGACACGGGGGACGTGGCATTACTGTCTGGTGGGTCTCTTCCCGGGGAGTTCGGGAGGTCTTTTCCCTGGATTTTGGAGAAGATCCGCCACGGGGTCGCTGGCGAAGAATCCGTCAGGATAAATGGGAGCCTGAAATCGGAGAGGGGACGGGCGGGGACGAGGCAGCGCTCGCCTCTCAGGTACCTTTGCCACGGAAGATTTTATAGGGGACAGGATGTATTTAAATGTACTTCCCGCACTGGTGACCTTTGTCTTCTTGCTGTCTTTGTAAAGCAGCATTTCCTGGTAGCGCACGCAAGCGGAGATAGAGGATTATTCCGAATAACCAGGTGAATGGGAAAATCCGGGTTAAATGTTGTCATTGCAAACACAGGTTTGACCTCACTCCTCGGAGCTTACGTCTCTGGCGTACGTCAGCCCAGCTGAGCTCTGTCCTCCCGCCAACTGCCCCGCATCTCTGAGTCGCTTTCACGTTTAAAAAAAACACCGAAGGGGCCTTCTGACAGGCTCCGGCTTCCCCTCCTGTGTTTGCAGTCGACGTTGTCCCGTGAAGGAGACGATTCCTACCAACCCCGGCCGCAACAGGAGGAAGCTGTCGCCGCTTTCCAAATAACGTAACAGGGCTCGTCATAGCGAAACTGCAGAGCCGTAACCGCACCGGGTAGCGAGCGGTGCCGAAACAGGTCCCGATGTTCCTGCAGACGCCCTCAAACGCTTCCCGTTCCTGTCGCATCCCACCTCCCGCGGTGGGTGCCGCAGGACCTGTCCTCCCGGTTGGGCAGGAAGCTCTTTTTGAGGGTGATAAAAACACGTTTCTATTTAGAGCAGCCTCCTTCTTGGGGCTGCCGCCACGGCGTGGCTCTGAACAGGGCTCGGAGAATCGCGGTTTGCTCGGAAATCTGCCTGAATTTTGGGGTGAAGGTGGCATGTCCGGCGCGGATATTGCGGCTGTCTTTCACCACCGTGGCTTCGCCGTCGGCAGCAGCTGGAGATGCTGACGTGTGGGGTTGGGTGCAACCGAGGTGGGGGTGAATCTCTTCTGGAGCGTCTCCCCGTGACCTGGGTGATTTCGGGTGCGGGTGACGGGCACCGCCTGCCCGCCGTGCCGCTCTTGATCGGCTGGATGTACTCCCTCGTTAATGGAAGCAATAAATCCACGCAGCGCTGCTCTAGCCTCTCCCAGGGAGCTCTTATCGCTCCCGTTTCCGAGCAAACAAAACCGCCAGCACGGAGCTGCTCAGCAAAACCACTTTCCCCTCCAATTCCCATCGCCCTTGGCCTGGGAGAAGGGAGCTGCGGCCGTTCGCTGGGTGGTAGCGGCCCCGAACAAAGCAGCACCGTTTCCAGGCAAAAAAAAAAACCCAGAAAGGCTCCGTGCACTCGAGCTGATGCCCCGAGCAGAGGGCAGGAGAAACGTCGTCGGTTCTGCGCCTCGCTTGGCCTTTCTGTGAAACGCGGTGACACCATAAAGGACGTATGGTTTCAGAGAATAAAGAGAAAGTGGTGTTTTTGTCCCTCCTGTTGAGGTGTCTTTTCTTGGTTTTCCTCTGAATTAGCGGGGTATTAAAATCCGGTAGACACTTAAAATTTCTTAATGACTGGCAGCTGGGAAAACTGCTTTCCGAATTCCTGCGCCCACAGCCCCGAGAGCGGTCGCTCGGAAGCAGTTCAAGGCGAGAGGCGGGTGTAAGGACAGGGGAGCCGCTCTCTGCTCCTCGTTAGTGCCCCTTCTCCTCCCGCCCGCTTTCGGGGACGGGCAGGAGCTCTGCCCTCCCAGGATGTCCTCGCAGCTGGCGGTCCCATCTCCCCTCCTTTTCTGCAGGGAGAGATAGCGGCGGGGTTGTATGACGACCTTGAGAGCGGGGCAGGTGCGGGGAGAGCACGTTCCTGTCCTGTCATGGGTCTCTGTGGCCCCGGGAGCGACTCTTTCGCCCTCTTCCAGCTCCCGCTGCAGAGCAAGAACCGATTCTGTGTAGGAGAACCCCTGCACGCCATCCCCCAGTGCCTGCTCTTTAGATGTGGGGGTGAACAACTCGATACGGTATTACCGTGCTTATTTAACCACCTCTTTTAATTCCTTGCAGGGATTTCCTTCCCCGAGGCTCTGGAATTGTCACTCGACGACCTCTCATCCTGCAGCTCATCTTCTCCAAGACAGGTACGGTCCAGGCAGGAGGAGCTGCCCAGCTCCCCCGCGTCAGAAGAGGGAAAGGGTCCTTGAAACCCTTGACTGGCAAAGGCGGCTCCGTCTACCCTCCGGATGGGAAGTACCGCCGGCATTTGGCTGCTTGCCTGCGCTCGGGCCTCTCGTAGGTTGGTCGTTTAACGAGCATATGAATATTTAGGTAACGGTTCTGGTTTGTTCGAGTGTTCCTCGAACAGGATTTTGACTGCTGGGGAGCACGCCGGCTCTTGGGGATGAAACCCACCCTTGGAAGTGGCAAACGACAAGAGGAGGTTTCTGTTATTAGGTGTACGGATAGTTGGGAGCACGCTGTGGCAGCGTGGGTTGTGTTCGGGCTCGTTTCGAACACGCGCTGCCCTTGACGCTAAAAAGTCGGCGTCTGTAGAAGGTTGCCACGATCCTTTCTTCCCCAGAATTGGTTAAATCCCGAGTACGTGTTTAAAATAGCGAGTCACCCCTCTCGGGGGCTTTGTGCTGGTGCAGGGGAGGGACGGGGTGTCTGTGGGGCTGCGGGGGAGAGGGGAGCAGAGCCGCGGTTGAAGTGGTGACATATTTAGGTCCATTTAGGTCCGTCTTTCTGCTCTCCTCCAGCAGAAAATTCCTGGTTTCCTTCAGACATCGTTATCCTGACGATATGGGGGGCTTTGTCTGCGCACAAACGTTTCACGCGCTGGTGGTTGCTAATAAAAGCGTGCCCGGCCGCTTCCCCATCGCCCCGTGACTCGGTTCCGCTTCGCACCCTGGCCTGGGGCAGGGGGTTGCGAAATCGGCTCCTGCCCCCGGGTCACCTGTTTCACCTGCCGGCGTGCATGGCGAGGAACGCCGAGGAGCCGAACGCGGAGCACCGGGACGGCTCTTTTTCCCAACCGGGAGTGCTTTTGTAAACATCAACCAGCCCCATCTCCGGGGAGATTTCTTGTCCAAACAAGCGTGGGTTTGGGTCAGTCCTGGCAGAGCTGGAGCTGCGCTCCTCAGCCTCCTTTTGCCTTTCTCGAGGTGACCTGTGTCTGGAGTAATTAGTCGTTTTGGGTACCCGGGACAGGTAAGGGGGTTACAAAACATCCGTCCTGGCCTTCAGATGATAGGGAGTCATCAGGCGCCGGAACCGGTAGGAGTGGAAGGGCGAGGGTAGGGGGGGTGTTTCCCCTCACCCCACCCGCGGGTTGTCGGAGGGAGGAAGCTGAGTTGCACCATTCCTCTCCTTGGGGCAAGTCGTGGCCCCGAATCCATTAAAAATCCCTTTTCAAGGGACGGATTCGGAGCTGTTGCAAGGGGCCGGGGAGCCGTTATCCCGGTGACCGTAGGGAAACGCTGTCTCTCTTCCCCCTGCAGCTTTCTGCTCCGCTTCCCCACTCCCCTCGGAGCTTCTGGTGCGCTAACAGGTTGCAAAACCCTTTAAAAAAATCTCAGATACTTGAAGGCGACTGTGCAAACGCCCAGAAAAATCAGCTGCTTTTCTGTTCCTGGGTGTCTTCCCTGCGGAGGAGCCGGGGCTGGGTTAATGTTTGTCTGCTGGGCTTGGCGGGGCGAGACGAGAGCTGCCGGGGTCA